ATTCAACTTTCTCCAGGCCCCTTTTGTTTATCTGTAAATGGGAAACAGCAATTGCTGTCTCATAAAATTTTTCTAAGGATTAATTAAGCTAGTAGATATAAAGACTAATACAATGTCTTATATAGGATTGGTGCTCAGAGTGCGAAGGACTTTGTTCTTCTGTACAGCTCCTCTCACCTACAGTGCTTGTTTTGATTTCATGTGATTTGGGCAATGTGTTAGATAATTTTGGCAGACAAATAAAGGAATTGTCTTATAAAAAAATCAAATATATATATATATATATATTTATATATATATGAATATATATATATATATATATATAAGAATATATAAGATATTGAATGAAACAAATTCTATTTATGTGAATTTTAAAACTCTTGAAACTCAACAGTAAAAAGACAACCCAATTAAAATACAGGCAAAAGACTTGGATATGTATTTCTCCAAAGAAGATATACAAATGGCCAAAAAGCACATGAAAAGACGTTCAAGGTCATTAGTCATTAGAGAAATGCAAATTAAAACTACAATGAAGTACCATCTCATGCCCACTAGGTTGGCCATTAAAAAAAAAAAAAGGGCAGCAGAAAATAACAAGCATTTCTGAGGATGTGAGGAAATGAGAACCCTTGCACACTGCTCGTGGGAATGTAAAGTGGATTACTGTATCATATTAATCTAATCACCAGGAAATATAATAAAAGCCCAAACTGAAGGATGGCTCTACAAAACTACTGGCCAATACTCTCCAAAAAAGTCAAAGTCATCAAAGACAAAAGAAAAGTAAGAAACTAGTCCAGATTAAATAAGTGTAAAGTGATATGAAAATGGAATTCAATGTGTGGTACTGAATATGACCCTGGAAAAGGGGAAAAAGTGACAAGTGGTAAAATTTAAATATGGACCTAGCAATTCCACTTCTAGGTATACACCCAAAAGAACTGAAAACGGGTATTCAAACAAATATTTGTACACAAATTTTCATAGCAGCACTATCCATAGTAGACAAAAGAAGCAACTCAAATGTCTATCAATAGATGAACAGATAGAAGAAAGTGATATATCCATACAATGGAATTCAGAATTGTATCAATATAAAATTATATTGATATCATAGTATTGGATCAATATAAAATTTTCTAAAGTTGATCACTGTACTGTGGTTAAATAAGAGAATGTCCTTGTTCTTAGGAAATATATGCTCAAGTATTTAGGGATAAAAGAATATTATGTCTATAATTATCAAATGGTTCAGGGGGAAAAAGTATATATTTATTTATGTGTTTATTTATCTACAAAAAAAGGAATGATAAAGCAATTGTGTCAAAATGGTAATCTGTGATTCTAATGAAGAGTACACGGGGGTACTATATACCATTTTTGTAACTAGTCTGTATGTTTTCTACTATATTTTAGAAGCTTTACAGTTTTGCCTTTCACATTTAAGTCTTCAATCTGCCATGAGTTGAGTTTTATATAATACTTTTTCCACATGGATACCAAATTGTCCCAACATCATTTGTTGAAAATCTCACCTTTTCCATGCTGAGCTGCATGTATTATGTCCAAAAATGGATATGCCTATCTGGCTTTTCTCTTCTGTTCCTTCTACACTAAAATTAGACCTCCAGTTCATTAAAAGACAGCATAAAGACAATGAAAAAAACAAACCATGAAATGAGAGTAAATCTATTTATAAAGAACCTATAGCAAATGACCAGAATTTAGAAAACATAAAAAGTTATTACAAATCATGAAGAAAAAGACAGATAATCCTATAGAAAAATGGGCAAAAGATTTGAACAGGCAAATCTTCCACAAAGTAGAAATCTACAAAATGGTGCCCAACTGCATGGGTCATAAGAGAAATGTAAGCTAAAACCACAATAATATACCTTCTCACATCCATCATATTGGCAAAGTTTAAAAAGTTCGTCAATATCAAGAGTTGGAGAGTATGTATAATAACAACAACCCTCATATAGTGCTGGTGGGAGTGAAAATTGGTACCACTTTGGAAATAGTGTGGCATTAACTAGTAAAATTGAAGTATGCATACCCTATGGCCCAGCTATTTCCCTCACAGGGAGATAATTCAGAGAAACTGGTATGCCAGGAAATATGCACAAGAATATTCATAGCAGCTTGGTTTCCAATAGCTGTAAGTTAGAATTAATCCATATGTCCATCAACAGTAGAGTGGATAAACAAATTGTGGATATGTTCTACTGCAGTACATCACAGCAACAAAAATGAATCTACAGCTATTGACAAAAACATGTATTAATTTCACAAAGTCTTGAGTGAAAAAAGCAAGATACAAAAAAATACACTGTATGATTTTATTTATATGGAATTCAGTAACAGGTAGAAACAATCTCTATTATTTAGTGTGCATACATAGGTGGTAAAACTAAAAGGAAAATAAGGAACTCATCATCACAAAAGACAGGATACTGATTACTTCTAAGTGCCAGGAAAGGGACAATAACTGGAAAAGACACACAAAGGTGGTGCTGACAGTGTTCTATTTCAGTGTTCTATTTCTTGATCTGGGTGAAAACTGAAAGTTTGTTTGCTTTTAAATATTTGATAAAATGTGCATGTTTTATGCACTTTGATTTGGATCATGTTATATAATTACAAAAAAAATACACATTTGGAGGAAAATTAGGTCAAGGAAAATCAGGTATGTGCAAAGTATATAGGGAAATGAGACTGGCAAGATAGATATTTAACATTTCAAACTCTCTTGAGGTGCTATACAATAAAACTGTATAAAAATTCCTACATAATGCCCATACTAGGTACCTATTGCAAACTTATATGTCCACACTACTCCCTCAACCCTGCCAAGTTTGTAATATACACTCCTATATGAGGTGAGGGAAGAAGACAAAAGGGGAGGGGAAGAGAGAAAAAAAGGAGAGAGACTGTATTAGTTTAAGATGGCTCTGTGGTTCCTGATTCTCATCCCTAATGAAGCCTGGCTATAATTCCTATTCTTGAGTTCCAGGGAATAGCCTGTATCATATATTTTCCTATTTTATTTACTTTTAGGTGTTTTTTTTTTTTTTTTTTTTTTTTTTTTTATTAGCAGGGGTGTGACTGAGATAGGTCATGTGCTTAATTGTATTGTTCTATCATTAACTTTAGAAATCAAGCAATATGCAACGATTAAGGTCTGCAGAGTATACACAAAGCAAATGTATTTCACTTGGCCTGGTTTTCCAAAGCCCTGCAGTTTCCGGTTTGGCCTAGCTTCTTACAAGTACATATAACATGTTGACCATGCAGGGGACAGGAAACTTTCCCCAGGCTAGTCTCTGTTGTAAGATAAATAACTGTAGCACAGCAAGGTTGTTGGCTCAAAGGACAGTTTACTGATTGATATGTAAAGATACTGAGAAATTGCTGTAAGAAGAGAATGCTTGCTAAGATCAAGCTTTTCTTGGTAGATCAACTTAACTTCTTGAAAATTGTATTATGGAAGTTCACCTTGTCTTACTGAATGTTACCAGCTTCTATTGTTAAATTTGTTAAACTATACTTAGCAAAAACCCCACCTATGTTCTCTTCCTGTAACTTCCTGGTGTTGTGGAGAATAAATGTAGGAAGAGAACCCCAAATTGGGGTTAATTTCCCAAATGGAAGGAATGCCTCTAATCTTGAGGGATTGGGAGATTAACCCCTTTTCGGGGCTTCTCACTGCTCAGAAGAGACGGGCTTTGAGTAATCTTTGGTGGCTCAGTCACCCAGGGACGTGACGAATCCGTGAGAGGCAAAGCAACAAATGTCTCTTCCGATTTATCAACATATCAGGTAAAAATAAGGCTTTTTATTGGTAAGAAATTTCTAAAGATTAACAATACTTACTAAAGTGCTCTAACATCACTTTTCTTTAACTTACCCTCAAAGTATGATGCTCTTGTGCTAATAATATTCTTAGTTCTTCATGTAGTGTTATAACTTCCAGAAACTGTCCCCATAAAGCCATCAGAAGTGAGCAAAGTTGTGCCAGATTCATATTTATCAGTTCTGCCAGTTCATCAGGATTTTCTATTTTCTGAAATGACAAGAAAAAAAACTTCACTTCTTCCCAAGACTTACTTTAACAAGTCTAAATATAATATGATGTATGTTATTGAGATGATCAATACAAAGGCAAATTTGTAGTTTAAAAAAGAAATGTGCATGTGTATGCATGTACATGATTCTTCCCAAGACTTACTTTAACAAGTCTAAATATAATATGATGTATGTTATTGAGACGATCAATACAAAGGCAAATTTGTAGTTTAAAAAAGAAATGTGCATGTGTATGCATGTACATGTATGTAGAGAGAGAGACCAACTGACTAATGGTTTCTCCTTAACTGATAGTTACTGAAGCAATTTTTAACAACTAACATGTCAATATCTGAGGTATCTTATTATGGAGATAATGTCAACTATAATCTAAAATTACAAATTAGGATTCTATAGAGGACGATCAACTTCTTACACCAAAATACTGCAAATTTTAAACAGAGTATTCCCTTACTCCTATGTTCTTAGATTCTACTTTGCTTGTGGGTAATCCTTTTACAGAGTTGTCAAACCTTTCTTTTTCTTTTCTAACAATTCATTCATCCACTATTTATTGAGCACATTTTAAATGCTAGGGCCTACATTCTAGAGATACAAAGATTAATATGAGAAGCTCAGTCTAGCAAGGAGAAAAAAGTAGGTAAACAAGCCATTATAAAATACTACTATGAGTGTTCTAATAGTATTAAATTATCCCATTTACTTAAATTTTCATCTAAACTGATCATAAAAGAGTATTAAATTGTACTTTGATATGCAGAATCTTCTAAAATGCAATTGGTTTTCTTAAATTGAGAAAAATAAGAATTTTTAAACAAAGAATAAAAAAAGACTATAAATCAGAATGATTGCTTATCTTTGGGGCAAGCATTTTTATTACAAAGACAGGATTTTCTTTAATTCATTGAGGTTGCAGAATGTTTTCAGACAGGTAATATCTTGTTGCAAAAATTTGTCTTTCAACTACTAGTAACACTAGCAAATCTACCTTAAATATAGAGATGGATGCTGACATCATTTTCCTATCCTAAAGAAGGTAGGAGGAATCATACAGGATGACATTGAAACGCTCCCATAGTTTCAATTGCCATCTATACACCAACCAACAACTTCCAAACCTATATCTAAGGATCACATCTCTCTCCTGAACTCCAGATCCATTACCTACAATTGTAATAGTTATATCTCCATCTTCTCTTTCTTAAAAAATTTAAACATATATATTAAATATTTTAATATACATTTATATATTTTATATTTATATATTAAAATAGTTAATAATGTTAAATATTTTTAAAATGTAAATGTCCCCAAACACTGCTTATCACATATCATACTGATAGTCTTAGCTTATTTTTACTTCTTTCTGAAGTCTGCAGTTCAGGAGGCTTTTCCTCCCCGACCCAAATCAAGCTTCTATTTATCTGTCCTAACTCAGAGAAGACACAAAAATAAAATTCAGCAAAATTAGCAAGAAGGGAAGGGATTAGGATTATATTCTATTTACTTTTCTGACTCTAGTTACTGGTATACAGTAGTAACTCAATAAATATTTACTGGGTAAATGAATGAATAAGGAATTACAGGCTTCAGATAAGAAAATAGCTCCTAGAATTTATGAACAAATTCAGAAAACTTTTACAAATTCCAGAATTCTGGAATGGAAGCTGATAGAGGCAGCATATAGGTACTCAACACATGATGAATCTACAGATGTGTTTTGCCCCAGGAAATGGTTTTATAAAAATGTATTAAAAATGAAGCTAACAAGTTTTTCATGTCTCTCTTAGGAACACAGAGATTAAAGTGTATGCTAAAGTAAGCTAAAATCTGTAGTATTACTGTTCCAAGGATAGTTTTAATGGAGTTTAGAGAAAGAAGAGTTGAATAAGCATTTGAATCAATAAATAACAATGTGTAAGGCAAGCAACTCTATACCTAGTCTAATCTATACACAAGTAGAAATAATTCTCTTGATCTTAACACAGGCTGAATATAGTACACAATTTTTTTTTTCTTGAGAGCAAAGCTATCTTGATACCTTGTAATTATTAATATCATATCCTAGGGATCTGGCATCAAGGTTCTGGTTACTCTTTTCATTTACATAAATAACAAAATAAATAATAATAAAATTCTTTTTTCTGTTAAAAAAGGATATCAGAATTAAGTTTGATGAGATCTTTTACATGCATTAATGTCTGAAGATGACTTTACATTTGCATATTTTTCAAATAATATTCATTATCTTGTCTTAAATAGATATACATTTTTTTTCATAATATTCACTGCTCTTGTTTGATTACCAAATACTGCTTACTTTTATAGACTTGGAAAATAAGGGAAAGCAAAAAAAGAAGAAAACAGTTCATTTTAGTGTATAGGCTTCAAATTTCTTTCAGTTATATACAAAGAGCAAAAACTAAAATCATATGTAGTTTTATGTCATTTTCACTGACCATATGAGTAACACAATACAAGCATTTTCCTACATCAAACATTCATTGAAAGCACCATTTTTAAGGTTGTGTAACTTATTTAGATTATGCGTGTCCCATAATTTGTATGACCATTTTACCATCAGGTATTTATTTAGGTTAACTTTTTACAATATTATATACATCTTTATATGAACCTCTGATTACTTCTTCGGTATAGACTGAGAGTACCACTTTTGGCTTTGGATACATACTGCCAAACTAATTTCTGAAAAAGATCTATAGGGTTTGAGAATCTGTACCTCATCACATCACAAAAAATCATAATATTATTTTAAAAAATCACAGCTGGGGGGTGGCAGGGGAAAAAAAAAAATCACAGCCAAAATATAATAGGTTTATAAAAATGGTATCAGAGTATTTAAATTTTGGTTTTCTTGATAATTAATGAGACTGAATTTTTTCATGTTTTTATTACTCTTTTTTGTAATTGGGTGTCTATCCCATCCTAATATGGTAATTACACGTGTTCTTATTGATTTGTAAGAGGATTTTAAATACTGTCACTCTATCTTTTGACAAAATTTATCCTAGGTTGTTGAGTTTAGATTTTATTATGTCCATTTACATACTGAAATTTAAATATGCGTATGTAAAAAAATTTATTAGTAATATATGAATACATATGTATTATTTTTTAAAATTTGATATAGATGCATATAAAGAACAAAAACTCCCCTTTACAATCCTCATCCTAAAAATACTACTCTTTTCTATTACTGTTAACACTTGAAACATCCTTTCAAGTATTTTATATGTAATCACATAAACACAATTAAATACAGCCCTAGCTATTGAGAGTTTTATACATGTATTAAATCATATTATTCATATTTTTTTCCAATTTTTTCTTTTCAATTAATATATGCTGAAGGGCTTTTCGGCATGAAAACAGTAACTGGCAGATTGACAATAAATATTTCCTGGATTAAATAATCCATGTGAATGAATAGAAATCCACCTAATTCTTTTAAATGGCCACATAGGAGTTAATAATAATTAATGCTGCAATTCTTTATATTCATGTTTGTGCACATGTGTACTTTTGTAGAATAGATTATTCAATAAAAAGTGTTGTGTCGAGGTAATGTGCATTTAATAAATGTTTTTGAAGTAGATTACTGAATTGACCTCAAAAAGTATTCTACCAATTTATATCATCACCAATGGCATATGAAGATACTAGTTTCCCTACACCCTTATGAACAACAACGGAGATTAGCAGTCCCTTTCATTTTTGCAAATTTCATGAAAAGAAAACAAACAAAAAACACCCTGTTTAAATCTGCATTTTCCTTGTTTTCAGTAAGAACGAGTGTATTTCAGTAGCTAACTTGTTCTGCTAAGAATTGCCTATTTGTACATTGCCTCTGTGTACCCCCTTTTCACAAGAATGTTGTTTTGAAATTGATACATGGGAGCTCCTTGTATACTGTGAGCTTAATCATTCTCTTTTCAATATGGCAAACATTCTCTTCCAGTCTTTTGCTTCCTTTCAACATTATTTATAGTGTATTTTGTTATAAAGAAGTTTCAAATCATCAATACTTTATTTTATTTTGTCCTTTACTGTTAAGTCATTTCATATCCCAAGATCAGATTGCTTATATTTACCTGTATATGTCATTTTTTTCTTCATAATTTTTTTGAGCATTTAACTCTTTCGTCCATTTAAAATCTCTTCTGTGGCATGGTATGAAGAGCTAAGTTTACCACACTGCTTATAAACCCCAGTGTTCTTGATATTTTATCATATGCGTAGTTATTAAACATATTAGTGACTATTTTAGTGCTGTTTAGTTCCTCTGACTTGTCTTTCTATTCTTTTAGATAATTCCTACCTTATTTCCATTATTATATTTTTTAGTATCCAGTTAGGCAAGTCCTTCTACATTTACATTATTTTTAAAGTTTTCTGAGTTATCCTTATATTTCTTCAAATAATTTTTTTAAAAAGTCAAAAATTCCCAATGGGATTTTGATTTGGACTCATTAAAATAAGTAACTTGAGAAAAACGGATATCTTTCAAGTGATTATTTTTCCATATAGGAGTATCATATATTTGTTTAATCAAATTTCTTTAATCTCTCAGTGAAACACTGTAGATTTTTTCATATTAATTGTACACATCTTAAGATTACTTTTAAGTGTTTAATGTTCTCTTGGGCAACTATTATAAGAACATTAGTGATTTTTAAAAAAAAATACTTATCTTATTTGAACTGTGGGCAAGGCCTCTAGTATACTATACAAAATTACTTGTATATTTCGCATATGTACAATTTTCTAAGGAGATGACAAATACCTTTTTCAAAGGAGTCTAGTCCTCATTCAAATTTATATACAGAAATACATTTCAAACCAAACACGTTTTCACTTGATTCATGCCTCTGATTTCTTCAATTAATTTAGCCCCCTAACACACAGTTAACTGAAAATAGTCCAAACATTTAGTTTCTTGGCAAAACAAACAAAACAAAGAAAGAAAAGAAAAATCTATTCAATTTAATTGTAAGAATGAATTGGGAAAACGGTCTGAGACACATATTAATTGGTTGAGACAAAATAAATATTCATTTTTATACAAATCATTTTACAAATCTATGCAACTTTAAGTGATGCTTTAAAAATTTGTCCAGAAATCCTGAGTGAGCTAAAAAAAGAAAATGTATACTTCTGATTAGTCTTTGCCATTTCATTTATATGGAGAATAATATACTTTTTAAAAAATAAGTTGACTTTATCCTGAAGTCAAATGTATATTTTGATCAACAAAGTTGTGGTTCTACCATGACCAACCATTTTATCTTTGCATTATAGGAAAGACAATTAATGAATTAAAATTTTAATAGACAAAATATTCAGAATAAGAAACAGAAAGCACTCAAATAACTTGATAATGTGAATTTTAAAAATTCAAGTACCTTAACTTCTTCACATAGTTCAGTAAGTCGAGCTTCTACATCCATTTCCTCTGAAAGGAGTAAAGAATAATTAGAGGAAATATTTCAATGTTAGATATGAAAACTACCTCTGAAATTACAGAAATAAATTAAATTCCCTTTAACAAACCAGAGGATTGACAAATATCTAAAATATATTCGATGAATTGAATTTTAATGTAGTATATTTTCATAAATAATACATTAATTACATAGGTAATGTGATTATTAAATTCTATGTTAAGATTATTAGCTAGTATCTTTTAGTTATCACAAGAGACTAACACTGTCAAAGATATATTAACTACATATGTAAAGTAACTTGAACAGTAAAAACAAAACATATAATGAAGTTTTGCTGCATTTAATATTTTATAATTTCCAGTAAAGTTTAGTATTTTGTGTTTTATGTGTATATACCTTGCTTTTTAAACACAAGTTCTTCCTAAAAAGCTTAAGTGAAATTAACTTTTATAGCTGAAACATATTTAAAACATACCTGGAGTGTAGGCTATTTAATGAAAATAAATGACAAAATCTTTTTCAATAAAAAGTTAGTTTCTAACTTAGTTTTTTTTTAAAAAAAAAAAGAAGACCGGTAAGGGGATCTTTTCCCTTGATTTGGTGTTGGCAGCAGCACGCTTTTTTTAAAAAAAAAGAAGACCGGTAAGGGGATCTTTTCCCTTGATTTGGTGTTGGCAGCAGCACGCTCTCCCAAGTGAGCCTCGGGCCGGCCCCCTAATTTAGTTTAATAAATTTAGTTTTCTATAAGATATTCTTATATTGAGGCAAATTTTTGCCACCCTATTCTGATTTATTTAATATGCACTATACTCATCTATAATGTGGGTGTGTAGATTTACAATTAAAATGGTAATATTTACACAAAGGAATACAGAAACTAACAGAATATAAAGATTTATTAATTAGTTATTTTTTGCAGGGAAATCTAAGGCCTGAAGTATCATCCTTAGATATATTTGTTTTCTTATTGTAAAAGAGAGTTTAACTGATCATTCTCACACAAAAGCAAGAATACATTCTATGCTATCCCTGTATTCACAAATCAGTTCACTATAGAACTAAACGTTTACTACTTGATAAAAAGTACAAGAAACATTTAAATCTGATAAAATAAGCAGTCATGATTATGTGGTAAACCCAACCAAGCTATAATGTGAACAACAAATACTCTGTTGGTAAGTGAAACCAGTAGAACACATATTTTGTAATTTACAAAATATACAAGTAAAACTTATTTAGATATTAAGATATACCACAAAATAGATCACTACTTTGGTCAACTTGTTGACTGCTACAGAAATTTGCTAAGGTTTCACAAATCATTTCAATATCAGATAAATCAGTAATTTCTAATATTAGGTTTTCCAAAACTAAAAAAATCAGCGGCAGACCCTACATTAAAATCACAACTTCCATACGCCAACTAGATGTTCACACTACTCATCGTTTTTTCTGTGATAGAAGAAAATCAGTAAAATAAGTCTTATTAGGTTACATATCCTACCTCTGAATTTAAAAAATATGAAAATAGGCTGGCCGGTTAGCTCATTTAGTAAGAGCACAGCCTTATAACACCAAGGTCATGGGTTTGGATGAACTTTTTAAGTTTTTATGCATTTCTCTAATGTTTGCATAGAAGAACCTAAATGAATAAACTGGTGCATTTGCATTATGGCTAATGAGAGCTACTTCAATGCAAACATCTTAAGGAATATTTAAAAGCAAAACTTAACTTCAAAATCTGAGAATTGAAATGATTTCAAAATCACTTAGGATTTCTAACTGAGTTTAAAATTCTATTTTAATTATTTAAAAAATAATGATATATAATCCATCTACACAATTTTATAGAAATATATAAATATGATGATTCTCTCATATAAATTCACTTTGGGGGTTTGGCTCCTCCCGCTAATCCAAGTTTATAATCTAGAACATATCCTTCCATATTTCTCAAATATATGAGTTTTGGAGTCACTGTTCTACAAAAATGAGACTGTATTTTACACAGTTTTCTGCAACTTGCTTTTTTCTCTCAGTAGTACTCCACAAAAGTCTGGTATCTAGTTACACAGCATTTTTTTTTATTCCTTTTTATCTTTTTTACTGACCGGTAACGGGATCGCAACCCTCGGTGATACAGCATTTTTTTTTTATTCCTTTTTATCTTTTTTACTGACCGGTAACGGGATCGCAACCCTCAGTGTCACGCCCGTACCCGGGACCGGCAACGGGATTGCAACCCTCGGTGTTGCACCCGCACCGCGCACAGCCAGTGAGCGGGAACCGGTCTCCACATGGGATCCCAACCCTCGGTGGGAGCGCCACGGTGCTCCCAAGTGGCGCACTCTCCAGTGCGCCACCGGGCCGGCCCTATACAACATTTTTTTAAATGGCTACATAATATTCCTTGATGTGGGTGCATCACGATTTCTTCCATATTCCACTTTTTGCCCAAATGATGGGCATTTGTCTTTGCTTAGAGTTTTGTGACTAAGAACAATACTGCAGTAAACATGCTTATACATATATCTTTACATAAAAGTATCTTATTTCTATGACACAGGTTAACAGAAATAGGGTTGCTAGGTCAAAGCGTACATGTATCTTACATTTTTTTCTAAATCTATCCATCCATTCATCTATCCATTCATTCAATAGATATTTATGACACAGCTCAGAAAATGTCAACACAGTGCTAGGTTAAATTAGAAGTATACTTTAATCGCTAAAAAGAACGTTAAAACGCTGTAATGGCCACAATTTCATACTATGAATTCTGTAATTTTATAGTAATTTTATATGAGATATAAAACCATATTACAAAACGAATGACTATACATAACTTTTTAATCTTTCTCTTTTCCTTCCTGAACAGAAAATAAGTTTCTCTTAACAGTTTTAGTAAAAACACGACTTAAATATTTCTGAGCTAGTTTTCATCTGAGAAATATTGAGAAAAATTTTGGCTTCTTAACTTCCTTTTGTCCATGCTTCTGAAAACTGAGAAATAAATATTGTTTATTTATTTATTTCTACAGTTTCTTATAATTTCTTAAAAATGTGATTGTGATGGTCTACTCAACACAAAGTAAAAGCTTTTAACATACTAACAGAAAGACAGTAATAAATCAAATACTATTTGCTATTTAAGAACAAAAATCTATATATATGGAAATATATAAATTAAATAATAAGCTCAGAATATTTTCCTTAACATATATAACAGATCTGAACAGTGGTGTTTTGACGTTATTTTGGTTTTTTTATTTAGAACAATAAAAATAAATGCAAATTGACTAAAAAAACAAAACCAGATACCGAAAATGTTTCCTTATTTCTGCAATGCAAGAAACTAGCTTTAGTTTTTAAATAACATTTCATTAACATTAGGCCTATCCAAGGTTAAAATTACTTTGAACAAATTTAAGGCAATATCATTAAACCAACAAATTTTGGCAATAAATATGGTTTCGAAAAAGTGCTCTTTGTAGAAACTTTTTGAAAAAGTATAGAAAAAGCCAAAGAGATCTTTGAATTCACCATTTCCAGTTTTAAATAAAAACTTCAATATTACAAATTAATTAATAAATTAACCAAAACTTATCTACAAACCAAACCGATGCTAAAGGCAAGTTCTTTAAATAAGAGAGGTGGGAACATACTATGTTAATAAATATATACTTATGAAATTTGACACAAGTTTAAGGCAAAATTTTATACTAATTAAAAGGGATTATTTACTTAGCCTCTTTGTAAACATACCTAGACAGGTGTCTTTCTGGGTTCGTGGCTGTTGTCTTCTGAGAAGGCGCTCATATAGGACCTGCATGTTGGCCTTGGCTAGTTGTAAGGATTGCACACAGCACTAGTTACTATACTCCTTTTACAACAAAATTTACTAGAATTTTCCAACTTGTTAATAACAGACTTAGTATCGATCTGATAGTGCAGTTAGTTAGTTAATGAGCTTATCAGAATTACAAATGATGTACATTCAAGTTTATATCACTTTGGGTTTTTTTCTATTTAAATGTATGTGTCACGAACAGTTCTTAATATTATTTTTATGTTTTAATTACTTAGACTCAGAATTTTAGTACTGTCAGGGATCTCAGAGATCAACTAGTTCAAATCTCTGCTTTTACAAGTATAGATACTGGGGCTCAGAAAGTGCACCTCGCTCAGCCAGTGTGTGGGAACCGGTCTGTATGTGGGATCCGAACCCTCGGCGGGAGCGCCACCGCGCTCCCAAGCGGTGCACTGTAGCAGTGCGCCACCGGGCCGGCCCTAGAATTATATTTTTTGATAAAATATTTTAAGCAAGTAATTTGGAATAAAGTTGACAAAGTAACTAACTACTGAAATTAAATATAATGGCTCTTTTACTATATTTCCTATATTACACGTCTAAGCCCCACAGTTGCATATATAAGTTTAAGACATAAAAGCCACTCTTCCCTGAGAGAAAACTGAAAATCTTATAAATAAATCAATTATCATGCTGAAGTTAGATCAAAGATTAGTAATAAAGTGCTAACCCTGTCTAAGCTATTTGAAATAAAACTTTTTTTTTTAAACTCTGTCTTTGAAAACAGAAAGGTTTGTTTGATTACTAATTATAAATTTTACCATAAATTCTTTTAGTAAAGTGCTAACCCTGTCTAAGCTATTTGAAATAAAACTTTTTTTTTAAACTCTCTTTGAAAACAGAAAGGTTTGTTTGATTACTAATTATAAATTTTACCATAAATTCTTTTAGAAATATTTTTTCTTGTTAAAGTGTGGTTCGTGTGCTTTTTCATTTGAAAATATTACATGTTAAACAGTCAATTTAGTGATATCTGTGTCTAGTCAAGAAAGTATGAACTGAACTGACAATAATGGAATTAATCAAATCGACTAGAGACTACAGTAGTTGCTGATATGCAGTGTCTCAATATCCAGCATTTTCCTACAGCTGAATGTAAGTAGGGTACAAATCCTTAAATTTTTTTTTTTATTCTCTTGTAACCCCAAACAGACAATTATAAAAATAGCTGAGTTAGTCTCAGATGCAAGAACTATTTTCAATAACAGTGACTATTTTAGAGATTGCATCAATATTAAGACTGAGATCCTTGTGGACTAATGGAATAAACAAAGGATACTGATTAAGTAAAATTTAAAAAGCAATTCCTGTTTATTCAAATATGTAATGATAAAAATGATTTATTCTGAAGGCATAATTAATATGTGCTTTTTTATGATGAGCTACTAGCTTATATTTTAAAATAAAAGCTTAAAAAAACTGACACAAAAAGTTAATAAAAACTTATTTTGCCAATCCCAATAATTTATCTTCTGCAAAATGATATATGTAGAAGCACTTTGCAAACTACAAATGGTATAAAAAAATCAAGGGAGCATAATTTTTATTATGTACTATAACATATACATAGACTTTGGGATTAAAACTGAAGTTTGATTTTTAATGATTTAAATAATTTTTAAAACAATAAAACACTGAATAATGTTATTGTTTCCTGAAGTGATATAAAAGAGATCAGATATAAGTTAAAATCAAATGTACATAAAAATGTCCCACTCTGCTTAGACTGTTAAAAATTTGGAAATACATATTTAATTTACCTTCCTACAATTATATACAGAATATACTGACATTTTAAAAAAAAATCTATCAAAATACTCATTTCAAACTTACCACCAAGAATTTATTTATTGATATTATAAAAAACATTTTTAAATTGCAGAAAGTAATTATCAAGGGTTGAAAAAGATGGAATTGAGAAAAAAGTAGAAGTGAGGCACATAAACATTAGTTTTAGTATAGAAAAACTATGGTGAAGCTGATAACTAGCAATATAAGAATGATGAGAATGACTCGAACTGTAGAATAGGGCTGGCTACTTTTGACATACCCAGTTCTAGTTTCTGACAAGAGGGAATCTCTTCTGTTACCGTAATGAAGTAGTTGTGCAATCCCTTGAAGGCTAGCAGCAAAGTGGCACAAAGAGTATAATGTAAATGATAGGCATGATGTAGGAAGGAATCTGCAATGATGAAGCTGCAACCCTAAACAAAGAACAGATTTGGGATACAGAGTATTAGTAGCCAAAATTTAAAAATATTATGCTTGAAACTTGGAAAAATAAAGAAAAAATACCTAAGCATCTGCCAATTAAAGTTATTCTAAAACATATAAGAAATTCAGGAATATTTTAGAGGGTTGTTCATACAAGCAAATTTAAACACAAGAAATACGACCCTAGTAATTTCAGTTACAGTGGATTTTTATAACAAGCATATTAAATAATAATTTTTGAAAACACGAGATTCATATCACATTTGGACTGAGAGACAGACACTCTATCTGCTTTTATAGTATAAGCCCCCTTTCCTTTTATAGTAATGGGTGTTCTTGTACTACTCTAAGTTAGGTCTCAACTCTGGCAATTGTTTTTTAAAGGCTCCTTTGGAATGATTTGACCTGTCCTGTTAAGAGAGCAAGGGGTGACGGTAACAAGTTAAAAAAAGCACTGTCTATCAAAGATCTCTATCCACTCAATCTGGTACGATTATAAAGTATCAGGTTATTTTTCATAATAAACAATTGGAACAAACCAATTTGTTAAGATCATATTTAATTAGATCTATTAAGTTGCTGAGCTCAATTAATAAAAGAAATATTGACATGCACAGATAAAACAGTTAAATACAATTCTTTTAAAATAAGAAGGAAAAAGATTTATAAACATATTCAGTTCTTACATCTGGTGATAACTGTTTTGTGTAGTTAATACCAAAGACCACACTTTCAAGAGTAGGAATCACAGAATCTTTGTTTTGTGCTGGTGCATTTCTATTTAACCAAGTAGTCTTCACAGGGCGAGGAAAGCTGGAAGAATAAATATTAAATTATTACTGTCATAAAAGTCTATTTGAATGTAAGTTAAATATTTACAAAAGAAACCTTACAGAAATAGAACAGCAAGGGTTTTGCAAGGTTATGAGTTCTAGAGTATTCTTAAAGTAATTTTTCCTTTAATAATTTGAATAATTAATAATAATGTATAACTAATGAATATTAAAAAACTAAGGCTAGATACTTGAGATTGCTTCTCTGTGATTGGGTTTCAGGAAGTCTCAAAGGACACTAAAGATAAAACAGGGTGGGATCCAGATGACAAATGAGAGTCAAGCTTTAATTTGGAAATACTGATCTGTCAGAACTGGTTACCAAGTTTAAAAATCTCAATACTTAGATATGAATGCTATATGCAGATATAAAGCACTTCCACTTAAATGTAGGAGAAACAAAATTACTAAATCTACCTGATGCCTCTTTTTCTCAAAAATAAGACATTTCTTCCCCTTAATTCTCCTCACTAAAATTAAGATAATTTTTATGTGTTTCAAGACACCATTTCAATCACATATTATATGAACTTCTGTTAAACTACATTTAGTACTCCATAAATTCTATAGAATAAAAAGCATATTTTTGTTTGAATGTTTAAGAATCATACACAATTATATTTGAGATAAAGTAAGTCAAAGCATTGGACTATTTGGTAGTTTGGCAAAAGGGAAAAGATAGGAAAGTAAATCAATTTTGCCATAAGCAGAAAGCAGCTTTCATTTGTAAAATCAATTTGCTTTGCAAAAATGAAATATCTACATCCCAGCAAAGAAGGGAGTCACAAGTCAATGGTAAATTCCACTTGTTTTTCAGAACTGACTCATGAAAGTTCTACTTTAAAAAAATCCAACTATAAAAAATATGTCATGTAAAAAACAAGCAAAGAAAAAAATACTAAACCCATTTACTTTAAATAATCCATAGTTGGGTTGACCATAGAAATTGTTTTAAATAAAAAAGACATTTAAAAAGATAATGTTATGAATTAAAATTTTTTCAAGGTGTTTAGAGGATTAAAAAATCCACCTATAATAAAGGAAAAACTTTCAGGAAAAACTTGTGGAAGCATAAATAACAAGGAATGTTACCCTTAGACATGACCCCTTTACCAGCACACCACCAGCAAAAAGCATTCCCTTACCCTTTCCTTGTTTCCCTTTTCCAACCTCTTAATTACAGGCAAAGAAAGGCAGGGAAAGATGCTGCTTCTTTCAGGGCAAAGTTCTAGCAGCAAGAGAGGGGATATAAGGGCCCATAGCAGCTAGATAAAGAACAGCAGCCTCAGCTGTTGCAGGCACCTTGTATTCTTTTCCAGTCACTAACCAGAGCCAACAGTTAGTCCTCTTGGCTTCTGATTCTGAGCCAAAAATTTCTCCTCCTTCCAGTAAACGGTCTCTAGGAGATGAGCAGCCCCTTTTTCCTACTAGTCTGTGGCAAAAACTGCTGCATTGTAAGAGGAAGCACACATTTAACTCACTAGGATTAGTGATGTGAATATCACTACTCTATTTAATTAGGGCCTTAAAAAGTAACATTAATAAACTGAGCTGACCTCTATGAGTTGTTTGCACATTTCTCAGGAGAGAAACTAAGCTAGTTTTATAAAGACAGTCTTGGTAAGTTTTAAATAACAAAACTTAAGAAAGTTATCAATCTATTATTCCCATGCTCTTGAATTTTATTATTTTATTATAAAATGAAAGTATTTATTAAATAATTAAGAATTTAAGAAATTCTTACTATTTCAGTTATCTTTATCAGAGTGGTATGGTTTCACTATAAAAATAAAAGATGTTACATTAATGAGGACCAGGGTATTGGTTAAATTTACCTTATCAGTGGCTGGTGTAGTGCAACCAATGATGCATGGACTGTAATAGATACAACAGAAAGGTGGAAATAATCAAACATAACATTAACATGATGATGAAGGCCTCTATGGAGGCTAAAGTGCAGCTTCAATGTTCGGCTACTTATTAACTGCAAGGCATTCAGATCATCTGTCCTACAAAAAAGCAATACATTTGCATATAAGAATAGAATATTTAACAAAGGCCAATATTTTGTAGAGTAGTTTAAACTATCAAAAACATTTAATTAATTACTTTTTTAAAATTTAGAATAAGAATATTTTAAAAGCATCAAATTTGTATTACACAATATGAAACATAACAATTGAGAAAAGAACCAGATCCTATGTATAGTTTGCTATTAGTCTATGACATGGACTATTTTCTCACAAATATCCCTAAAAATGAGTCCTTTGTGATACTTTGGGGATTAATCTCATCTTACAGTAAATTTTACTCCATAGGCAATATTGTTTATTATTATTGTAAGGATGCAGTATAACATAGGTCAAATCCTATTATAATAAATCCCAAAAGATATTTCAAATTATTTTTACTGTACAAAATTTTATTAAATACTGCTCAAAAATAAACAAGCCATTGCTTATTTAGTAAAATAAAAGATATTTTATTACAGATATTTAGTCTGTCATTAGACATATATAAACATATACATGTGTTATATAACACATAAAAATTTGAAACAATGCCATGAAAATTGTATCCAAATATACCATTAAAATAAGACACATACATTGTAATTATGTACAGCTAATGAACTACCTACTCATTTCAGTTTACGCCACTTAAAGAATTCTGACTTTGTTAGAAAAAACAAACAAAAAAGCCTTTACAGAATTCTTTGCAATGAATAAGCATTACTGAAGAGCAGTAGCTACCATATAAAAAAATTCTTATTCCTCCATGATAGAAGAGAACACCTAAAGTAGGCCTTTTAGTAATGTGACTACTTAGTCATCTATCCGACATGCAGTCTGAATTTATATACAATTTTCAAGAAGTACTTCTAAAACTACATTTGAAATGAGAAAACAAACAAACAAAAAAACCCCACAACTCTCCAAAAATAAAATTGTTAAATGGATCTTTGATTGTTTTAAATGAATACAAGCACAATTTATCCCTAAAATATATGGCTGCATGTTCAGGTATGAAAACCCCACAACTCTCCAAAAATAAAATTGTTAAATGGATCTTTGATTCTTGTTTTAAATGAATACAAGCACAATTTATCCCTAAAATATATGGCTGCATGTTCAGGTATGTGAGCACGTTCAGGGTTGCCAGTCCTAAAACTTCTTCAGGGACTCTAGAAATTAATGAACTAGAAATAACTGCCAAGTATAAGAGTCATCAGTCTTGATAACTCTCGGAACACCAACAAAGTCCCACCTAAAGAAGGCACAACTCATGCCACCAAGAAAGATTAGCTGGTGATACAGTGGAAGAGAGCTCAGTTATATTTAAATGCCTCATGGCAGTGGTATTATATCAACAGTGCAATTTCTGGAGTCTAGGAAATTGTTTCAGATTTTTTCAACTTGTCTGATTTTGCTACCTGGAGCTCATGGAATCAGCATGGGCACAGAAA